ACACTTTTGGTAAGTTGAGATGTAATGAAAATACCAAGACCATTAACGGCACATTTATCAGGTCCCATCTGCTCYTCACCACACAGAGAACCAACCATCACTCCCAAGATTTTTATTCTCAGAGCAATTTTCCCCTCTTCCATTTGAAGATTTAATAGATCTTTAAAAGGAAAGAGTTGTCTTATTTTAGTTTCAATTCTTTTCTTCCRTATCTGGGGGTGGATATGCCCCCAAGGGAGGACTTAAATCAAGATTAACTACAAATATAGATCAATAAGATGTTTTGAAGAGAGAAGTATTGCACCTGTAGGCTGTTCTGGCTTCTCCACCACCAAGCGTTCCCTTCCCGTCTTACGCTGTTTCCGATAAACCTTCTCTGCAGCGGGATTAAAGGCAGGCCTAAAATATCAGTGCTAATTTGGTGCTCATCAAGATGTCCTCAGGGAAACAGGATAAAAAGGAGAGASTAAGCATAATTATACAAGAGTCATATTAATAGCCAAGCTGGGCTTTAGCAATGAAAAGTCAACAAGTTTTTCTTAACATTTCTTCCAAAGCACTTTTATGCCACTGAATAAAGAGGCRTAATAAAACAAAGCCATACTTCCTCTAGAAATCCAGTGGGAAAATTGGAAGGGAAGAGGGAAAAGAGAAAGTCAACTGTGGCAAAAGCACTAGGGAAAAATTTATGAGTGCTACTTTTGCACAGTCAAGTCTCCTTTGCTGGTAAAATATTGTCACAGACCTATTAGCCCTATAGAATTCATTTTCTTAAAGAAAATCCGAGTCTAGTGGTCAATTTTTATGGCCCATATTTTTCAGCAGGACTGAGGAACACTAGCAAGACTTGCAAATTGTATAACCAAACAGAATTAAGGTCAACAATGCCACAGGGATTAGGACACCAACTCCTCATGATCATGTCAAGTGTCCAGCAGCCATGAGAACCCCTGTCCAGTAACGCTGTGTGGGGCCAACAGCAGCCCTACCCCACTGCTGGGCTTTGTTTCAGTCCATCACCCCAGGGATATGGGTMCTGCCTGCCTCACCTTCTCCTTAGGGAAATGAAGGGAAAGTGCAGGAGAATCCACTCAACCACCTGTGAAGTAACACCCTGCTACCACAGCACTTTGAAAAATAATTACTGGGGGAAAGAGAGGGGAAATCCAGTCTGGAAAGCTGAATTGCAGGTTATTATCTTCTGCGGGCAGGCACTGGGTAATGAGGCTTTTCCTGAAGAGAAATCCTGACTGGCATAACTAGAATGCACCCAAGTCCTGCTTGTCTTAACCTCCAAGTCAATCTTTAACACAAGAGCTGCAGCAAAGGCAGCACTTAGGAGATCCAAGTACTGCTTGAGTTTTGCTTTTCCTTGCAGAACTTACCCCAAATCCCTGCTGCCTCCCAGCTGCCCCACCACTGACCCGTTCATCCCCACCACTCAGCCACAGAAAACAATGCTGCACCTCCCTCTCTTGTGGCAGCTTGCAGAATTCATTCTGTCTCCCTGGGGAATAGCATTCCCCCTTCCAAACTGACTTCCTGGACCTATTCTGTGTGTCAGAGCTCTTCCCCCACCCTCTGCCCTCTGTGTTTGGCAAGCACTGACCCACATTTCCAGCCCATTCTTCTGTCCCCAGAGGGCACAAGGAGGGCTGACCTGGGCAGCCAGAGGGCCAGGAGGTCCCCCCAAACAGGAAATTCTTCAGAGGGCCAAGAACAGAGCAGGGTTTGATGGCTGGCACTCAGCAATGCTTCCACACTGACATTTCCTACCACAGTACTCATGGAGAACTGCAGGGATCCATTTGTATCCTCAGTTTAGGAAAATTCAGAGTGTTCCAGCAATGTTTAAAACAAAGAATAACTATGGAAATGCACCAGTTCTGCTGACCAGAAAAGCTTTTGCTTTCCTAATCTAAATAGAAATTTAAATTTTCTTATTTAGCACAAATATTAATTTAAACATATGAAACCAGAGCAGCAGAAACTGGAAGCTGAGCTGTGACTGTCCATGCTCTGAATTAGAGGCAYGAAAGCATTAAGAGACTGAGTAACWATTACTCACTGTGCCCAATTCTSAGCACAAAAAAATTGTGGTTTAAGAAATCAGGTTGTTCAAGAGTCACAGCTCAGGTCCAGGTATCCTGTTCATCACTGTAAACACAGCTCACAAACACCTGGAAATGAGTASTTTGTGATTAGCTGCAAGSAAAATAAACATGATTATACTGCACAAAATACCACTGAACAGGCCAGGAAACTCCAGCCAACCACTGTCATTAATCTAAATTAGTGGCCAGGATATTTCTATTAGGGTAAGGYCATATTCTCCAAAGGAATTGCATTCCTATGGTTTCAATTTCAGGTTTGAGTTCTAATCATTAAACTTCAGAYGTCAAATACAGGAAACACAGCAGTCATCCATATCAAAAGAAACCTATGGATGTGCTGTACCAGCAGGAGCACAACTTGCAACAGTACTGGAAAAATTCCTCTCCCCAGCCCCGTYTCTGCCATCCCAGCTCTATCTCCTGAAGCAGCTACAAGCACAGACACAGACAGGAACTGCAGAACAACACTTTTACAAGTATGTGTCAGGAACTTATCAGCAAAAGCATCCTGGCCAAGGATCATGCTGCAAATAAATGCTTGCAGAGACCTCTGATGATTAATCGGAGCCATTTTGATGAACCCAGCTAGTTCTTGGTTAGAGACATATTACTACCAGCCAAAACTTTCTGACACGTATTTTCTGTTTCATTAAAGGCTGAAAGCCTACTAAACCCAAGGCAGAGTTCGAAGATTAAAGACATTTTGTACATTGTGTTAAATATTTGAYAGGAAAAATCTATCTCTCCTCACCAAATCCTGGGCACACTCAGTAGCTGACCTTGTGTTGCCACTGATAACCAGAAAACAAATGGAATAATGTAATAATCTGCTACTGTCAGGACAAATATTATTTGGTGTACTAATGACTACAAAACCTTGGATGTTGTAATTGCAAGTTTTATTTATATGGAGACAGATTCAGTTCCTTGAAGTGTCTCTCAGCATAAGGGCCCTGCTGAGGCCCTGGAAGCACAGAAGGAGCAGGGTCAGTGCCAAAGCTCCCCATTCCACCTGACCCTCACTGCTCCCCTTCACCATGGCCAGCACTAATGCCTCTGCTGGAGTTTTTATTTATCCCTGCAATGCACTTGTGGGGACAAACCGTCAGTGGGGGAATTCAGCAACTCCTGCAAATGCTTCCTGAAATAAACAGGGAGTGGCTCCATACAGGTGAAGGGCACTAGAAACACAGATTTGCTTACCCTTCAACAAGTTRTTCCCTAAATAATGGATCCCACTGCATGGGTTTCATCTGTTCTTATTCCAAGCTATGCCTTCATTTGTTCAAATGAGAACTCAGACTTTCAAAAAGAAAAAGAAAGCAAGCATGGAGAGATTTGATACAAAATATAAACTCCATATATCAGAAGGAAAGAAAAGAGAGCTGTAACCAAACATACAGCACCATGTGCAATTTTTTTATTTCCATCTTCCAAAAATAGTAACATTTGTCCATGTAGCAAGATCTCCAGAGATACAAATCAGGACCAGCAGGGTATGTGAGCAAATATATGGAGCACCCGGAGTGTGGTAACTACTGACATTGACTTACTTTATTAGAGGACATTTGTCTCAAGAACCTTTCAATGTATTCTTGAGACCATTTCAAGAGGTGCTTTCAGAGTGGGAAGCCCTTAATCACAAACCACTTGAGACTGCTACAATAAACTCCTTAATGTTAAGATTTACGCTGCTGTTATTCCACATGGACTTATTAGGGATCCTCTGACATGAGCTGTTAGAGGCTGCTGTTCTGGTCAAGAAGTCTGAGTTTCTTTCACAAATACACATGAAAACAGGGGCACRAATACCCACTGGGAAGCAGAACAATTCGTGGTGGCCCCAATTTGCTTCTCTTCCACTGCCTGTCCCTGTATCACCCCGCTCTGCTGGCACAGTTCTGCTGAGGTGAAAGGACACTCAGCAACCTGTAGTTGATTATTAAGCAGCCCTAAAGACAAAATCACAACTGGAGAAACAACAACTTGCGTGGTGTACTGAAAGATATAAAATGTCTAAAAAAAGTTAACATTTAAAGGGTTGGTTAACCTGGAAGCAGGAACAGCTTTTGCTCAGTTTGTGTGAAATAGGTCAAACAGCTTTTTCCCTCCTCCCAGTCCCTCAACTGCTACAGAACACAGCAAGGTGTGCAGACCTGGCTCTTGGTCACACATAGCTTTCTGGATATGACATGCCGCTGTCCCCACACTTTTAACAGCCCCCTAAATATGAACCAATATTGCACAGAATGAGCTGTGCTTCCAAAACACTGTGTCAGAAATGCAATATGCAAGTTCAACAGCGTGGGCTTATTTCAACGAATTCGTATCACATCAGATTCAGTTTYCATGTTTGTCCAGCACAGCCTTAAAGCCAAAATTCAAACCATGAGCCCTCCATAATGCACTCTATTCTACTACAGACACACACCAGTTAGGAGGGGAAAAAAAAAAAAAAAAAGGAGTTCCTCCAGGTTAAGTATTTCCCTGACCTCTTTTTGAACTCAAACACACCATTGTTCCATTGTCACCTCAGATTATTTGTCAGCTGCCAAAACACCAACTTTTTATAGCTTTCCCTATTCAATCACACTCTTTTACTCTTCCTTCATCCACAGCCGGTGCACAACATCTTTTGACATGAAACTTATCTCTACTTTTTCCTTAGGAACAAAGTTTTTCTGCTCTAACTTCCAGAGCACTGATGKGCCTGGCACAGTTGTGTTGGTGTCACTTTGCTGCTGCACCTCAGCTGTTCACACAAACCTGGTTCTCTCCCCACCCTTTAAAATTCTGATTCCATGGAACTGGATAGGGAAACTCCAAGCTGCAGGTACTTTAAGGAGGTGGCAGGCAGCTGTTAAATCCCCAGGGACTGGTCCTTACCTTGCAGCATGCACCTGTAGGCAGACTCGGATATCGCGTAAATGTGCGGTGGCATCTCATGGCGCTTCTTCCCTCTGTACATCTCAATAATGTTCTCCGAATAAATTGGGAGGTTCTTGTAAGGATTTATGACTACACAGAACAGCCCTGAATAGGTCTGGAAAAAGAAAAAACAACATTTGTGTTAGTAAACAGTATTGAAATAGAGTAGTAAAGAACAGAAAGCCTTTTCACAGGTTCTATAATAYTTATTTTAAAACAAAATTGAGGTGCTTTTTGTAGAGCAACTCAAAGTACATGCTGTATTCAAATTATTGGTTTCTAGTTCTCTTAAAAGGTTTTTTAATTACCTGCATAAAAAGTAATTTAAAGATAATAAGCGTAGGTAAATTTCAAGAGGAGTATCTGATCTCTTTCCCACAGACATTTAAATCTCTCTTCCGTTTGCCAAGTTCCAGATTTAATGGAYACCTTTTGATGTTCAATTCCTTCAGTAAAATGTGAATTCTAGGTTATTTTCATTTTGAAGGAACTGATAATATCCATTGCTCTAGTAAACAATCTGGATGAGGGAAGAGCCTATTTCAAACACCATTATTTCTGCCATCCTGTTATTTTCCCCTTTCTGTCCGTCTTTCCTGCTCATCAGCCCTTCTCAATCTCATGGAGGGATCATTCCCTCCCCTGTCCCAGCCCAGCTGAGGGGCAGCCTGGCCCCTGGCCCTGCAGATGTTTCCCACTCTGCTTTCAGAGCTGACACTGCACAGAAGTGGCCTACCAGGATATCAAGGAACCAGCACAAATTGGWCATTGCTGATTGCACTGACCCTCACTGAGACATTTCTGTTGAGCCAAACGTGTCTCAAGTGCCACAGAACTGAGCCCACACTGAAGCAATGCCCATAGGGCTGCATTTCCCTGTGAGCCAAGTACCACAGACCCCTCCAGGGAGCTCCATCRCTGCTCCACTGCAGCTATTCCTAAGGAAATTATTCCAGGGACATCCCTGGCAGAAGGACAAGCACAGGCAGCCACAGCCACTGGGTTATGTGGGAGGGACAGATGAGCCTGGTCTGGCTCGGGATCAGACGCTGAGCTCAGACAGACTCTCTGCTCCCTGCACACACCACAGCTCTCCCGGGGTGTTCCCTGATCCACGGGATCTGGTTGGCTCTGGCCCTTTCAGCAATAAACAGAATTGACTGTTTTTAAGAAAGCAGAATCTCTCCATTCACTGTTATCTCCTCTCACGTTTGCACAGAGCGTTCTTTTTGGTCATTACTGAAATTCCCATCTTTACTAGCTCAGGAATGTGAGCAAGGCAGACCAGGTTTGGCAGAAATAGAAGGCATCTTTCTGAATGCGAGGAAAACCACATTTCTTACCTTTGTAGGTTGAGAGGAGAAAAAGAATGGGGAGAATAAGCAGACAGCATTAACAGCTTTGAGAGCCCAGAGYATGGAGCAGGTCCCTCAGGGTTCTTATAATATTTGTTGATTTTAAAAAGAATTGCTACTACACTGGTATGAACACAGTAGCTGAAAGTCCCAATCTGCCTCTTTTATTTCTTTTCTAAGTGAAAAAGGTTTTATTCGGAGGAAAAAATGCCCCCCTGTCCTTCCTACACCTCCACCAGCTTCTGGAAATAGAGGCAGAAGGTGTTCTCTGAACTGAGTCCAGGAGCACCATCAGCAAAGAAAAAGAACTTGGTTTCAAGCCAGGTATCCTGACATAGGCACATCTTATGTCCTTGGAGGAAAATAGTCCCTGTGCTTTGGGCAGATCTGCTGGGTGATAGAACTGCAGGGCCTTGCCACCTAAACAAGGTATTTATTTCTCAAGAGAAAGGAAACAGATCTTATCAGGGCAACTGACCCAGGCATAAAGAACAACTTATCAGTCATTAACTCAACATAACATGGGTCTGTTGGCAAGTGGGCAGCTCCTCCCTAGCCTCCTTTCCTACCACTGTCCCTCCTGCCAGGATCAGTGCTCCTGCCTTCACTTACTGACCTGGATACTCCTGCAGACAAATTTCAACCAGTACTGGTTGGAAACAGAGCATTTCCCTGCCCAAACCCAGTCGTGGTCACGGGTGATACTGGAAGGGAGGGCAGGACAGTTATTTGAACAGCTTGGTACAACCGTCCAAGGAGCTAATTAACGGGTGAACAATGGACACCCATTCGCAGCCACCCTCCCTGAGCTCAGCTGAGGTCACCCACAGCCATCTGTCACCACCACCAGTGACACGGAGGCACTGAGAACTGCCACAGGCCAGGTTTCCTTCCAGTCGAGGCTTCAAATGAGGGTAACCAGGAGGACATGTTTACCAAGGCCACCACACAATCACCAGCTCAGAGCGACAARGCAGCACCTCCCCAGTGCTCCTCCAGCACAGCCACAGCTTGGGAGAGAGCTCTAGCTATTCTAACTGCAGGGAAGAGCTGGGCCTGGGAAAGAATTCCCAGAGCCAGAGTCCACTCCAGACCTGTCCCAGCACAGATCTGACCAGTGTTATGGCAGCAAAACGTGCTGAGGCCAGCAGAGCTCTACCCTGCGGGAGGGCTCTGGACTCTCACCCAGCAGCACCCTGCACCCAGCTCTGCTTTTCACCCACTCAGCTTCAAAGATCTGCAATTYACCTCCCTGGGCTGCTGTTCCTYCTCTGAGCAAGGACAGAACTCCCARAACAGACACTGGTTAAGCTGGGAGGGCATTACTGCAAAACCCGGCTACGCTGGGTAGCTCTGTCAACAGCAACACTCCTATTTTTCTGCAAGTTCATTCAAAACTCTGACCAGTTGTTTTGGCTTTTTATGTTCCCAAAGGAAAGCTGTTGTTTGCTCCCCAGAATCGCTGCCCCTCCCTAGACATGAATAAATCAATCTGGTAAATAATAAAAAAAAAAAGGAAATCTTAAATGGTGGGAGAGAACAACTCTTTGAAAATTATCCTTCTCTCCTCCTCCCCCCCCCACCCCCCGTTGCTTTGGCATCTTTAGTTTATTTCCCCAGCACAGACATGGAGTAAATGTTACTGTTTAGCTACATTAAGAATTAAGAACCTAGAAAAATAAACTTAATAATCCAGCAGACCTCTACTGATAACACCTAACCTGGAAGCAACTCCAGGCTATCTCCTGAAGCAGTAATGGATGAACCTGGGAATCTGGAAGGATCAGAGTAAGCAAAGCACAATGATGCCCACAAAACTTGGCCAATCCAGAGAATATCTTGCACAACTGCAAAGGGTTCATTGAAGAAGCTCTATATTGAACAGGGCCAAATTACAAGTTATGAAGCACAAATTTCACCAGTGCTAGGGTTCATTCATTTATAAAAGCCTACAGGATAGGCTTTTATCCYAGACCATTCCCTCTGGGCCATGACACAGCTCTTTGCATGCAGCACCTTGAACGCCGTGATCTCCTGCATTTGTTACCCAGCTCACTCTCCTGTTCTTTCCCTGCAGAATTTAAAAATGAGACCTTTTTCAAATCAGCACCACCCTGCACAGCCTTAATTTATTCATAGGAAGATGGAACTGAATTTCCCCAATTTCCTGACTGTCATCTACTGCAGAAAGCAATATATGAACATATTGGTGGGCTGTCTTCATGGCTTGRTAGGCAGAGAAACACAGAAAGGATGCTTTTAGTGAGCCAAGTTTAATTGGGAGGGAGGCAAATGCTACCAAAATCTTGCACAGCTATTTTATAACTGCARGTCTCACAGTACATCCCTGTGCCTCATGCAGCAGATTGTAGGAAAGGGCTTTTTGCATGGAAACCAAACACACAAAAAGCAGAGATTGTTTTAAACCCTTCCAAAAGCAGCCATAGGAGGAATTATCAGGCATACATACACATCTGCTTAACAAATGGACACCCTGTTTAATGAATACTATCCTGCAGTATGTGGAATTGTCAGATGGGAGTAAGAGCTGGGATCAGCACTGGTGAGCTCCAGGAAGAGCCCAGACTGGATGGAGAACCAGACTTCATTYCTTTTTCAGCTGCCAGAGGTGAATGTGCATATTAAGAACTCAAAGGCAATCGAAGGTGCTGATTCACCTTGGACATCAGCATGATCAGCTGCAAACAGCTGGCTGTTCAAAACACACATTTCTGCTTTCCCCAGGAACAGGCTSCAGACAGGATCAACCCACAGCCACAGGACACCCTGGAATGCACTCTCMAGGCAGGACTCCAGACACAAAGAGCAAAGGAGAGCTCTGACAGAGGTTTGTTATACAAGCTCTCCTTCAGGACACTAAATGTGCACTTTGAAGGGTTCCAGATGTTTACAGCCCATATCCAGTAGTTTATCATGTAGTAATTTGTGTTCTGCTAAGCTGTCCCAGCCTGCAGAGCTCAGGATCCTGGCACCGGCCTGTTTCAAACTCCAGGCCATCCCTACATGGTGGGAGGGAGGTGGGTGTGAGTGAACAACTGACAGAGAGGGTGAAATAACTGGCAAACAGAGGTGAAAATACAYGGGAGCTCAGGCTCCAAATCTGGAATGTTGGTTTTCATGGCTTGTCTTCCCTTAAAACCACATCACCCCTTCCCTGTGCATCCACACATGGAGGAGTTAAGGGTACAGAGCCTGGTGCTATCCCTTGAATTCCTGCACTCAGGAACAAGCTGTCATGGTTGTTAGGKTGGTCCCTTCTGCCATGACATCAARAGGCCTCTTTAAAGCACCACTGGAGAGCACATCAGCAACATGCAAGAACAGTTTTGGCATTTGTGACAGTCAGTTTCCATCACCCCAGTACACAGGCTCAACATTTATCTCCAACTCTTCAAATATAAAAAGTGAGATTCACTCTATTACTACATAAATAATTAAGCTACAGTAAGTAAGCATCTAGACAGCTCTCATTAKTACCTGGAACAGAAACCAGCCCTTCCCAGCCTTGCAAGCAAGGCATGTGTTAAGCAGTATCCCACAACTAATGGAGTAGAACACATTCTCCAGGTTGAYAAATTGCCCCATCAGAGCATTTCTTGCCTGGTTTCACTTCCTGGGGTTACAAAACCCACCTTTCACACTCCAAGCCCTACTGAGTTCTCTGAGCTAGACGTGGTTTTCTCACAGAACACCTTTTCTCCCTGAAGTTATTCAATTCAGCCCTTAAAGAAGGGCAGGC